GATACACGACTGCAGTAACTTCAAGCAAGTACTGCTTCAGATACACGCCTATAGTACACAAACAAGCACTGCTTCAGATACCACGACTGCAGTACCTCAAGCAAGTACTGCTTCAGATACCATGACTATAGTACCACAAACAAGCACTGCTTCAGATACCACGACTGCAGTACCACAAACAAGTACACAAAACAGTACTTGCTTCAGATACCACGACTGTAGTACCAAAAACAAGACATGCTTCAGATACCACGCCGTGTAGTCCTCAAACAGGTACTGCTGCTTCAGATACCAACGACTGGTAGTACACAAACAACTACTGCTTCAGATACCACGGACTTTAAGTACAACAAACAAGCACTGCATCGGATACCAGACTGTAGTACCGCACAACTAGTTACTGCTTCAGATACCACGACTGTAGTACCACACACAAGCACTGCATCGGATACCACGACTGTAGTACCTCAAACAGGTACTGCTTCAGATACCACGACTGCAGTACCACAAACAAGTACTGCTTCAGATACCACGACTGTAGTACAAAAAACTACAAGATAAACGACTGTAGTATCAAAAGGTTCTGCTTCAGATACCACGACTGTAGTACCAAAAACAATACTGCTTCAGAGACCACAGATTAGTACCACAAACAAGCACTGCATCGGATACCACGACTGTAGTACCACAAACTAGTACTGCTTCAGATACCACGACTTTAGTACCACAAACAAGCACTGCATCGGATACCACGACTGTAGTACCTCAAACAAGTACTGCTTCAGATACCACGACTGCAGTACCACAAACAACTACTGCTTCAGATACCACGACTGTAGTAGCAGAAACAAGTACTGCTTCAGATACCACGATATGTACCAAAAAAGCACTGCTTCAGATACAGTGTAGTACCAGAAGATACCACATGTACTATGCTTCAGATACAGACTATAGTACACTAAACAAGCATGCTTCAGATACCACGACTGTAGTACCACAAACAAGTACTGCTTCAGATACCACGACTATAGTACCAGAAACAAGCACTGCATCGGATACCACGACTGCAGTAGCAGAAACAAGTACTGTTTCAGATACTACGACTGCAGTACCACAAACAAGTACTGCTTCAGATACCACGACCATAGTACCACAAACAAGCACTGCTTCAGATACCACGACTGTAGTACCACAAACAAGCACAGCTTCAGATACCACGACTGAGTACAACATTACAATACTGCTTCAGATACCACGACTGTAGTAGCAGAAAAAGTATGCTTAGATACCACGACTATAGTACCAAAAACAAGCATGCTTTAGATACCACGACTGTAGTACACAAACAACCTACTGCACAGATACCACGATACCAGCAGTAGCAGAAACAA